AAATTGAAGATCAGGAGGTGTTGGTCTGGTGTANCTTGAACAGAAAACTGATTACTAATATTCTTTTCTTCAAATTGAAGATCAGGTGGTGTTGGTCTAGTATACCAATTTTTTGTAATACTGGTTAGCTTAACATTTGAAAAAGTCAATTTGTTAATCTGAGTATTACTAAACTGTTTTTCTAAGTTACTTTTTTCAAAATCAGATGAACTTACTGAGTTTACTTCTTCTGAATTACTAGAAGTCTGGTTAATGACAGTTACTTGGAAAGTGCTTTCTTTCTTTTGAGAAGCTGGTTCTTTCTACTTCATTTTAAAAATAAGTGTTTCAATCTTCTCAGTATTTTGACTGTCTTTTACTCCTAGTTTACTACGATCTTCAGGTAGATGAATTAGAGGTTTTTCTAATTTATTACCTGGTTTGATCTCATCAATTTTATTTTCAATTTTATCTAACTGTTTACCTATAGTAATTAGGCTTTGGTTAGTAAAATTGTTTTGTTCAACAATTTTCTTTTCAGACTCATCTGTGGAGAGTTTGAAAGGGGAGGTTACAACAGGTTTACTATGGTTAATGACAATGATTTCTGCTGGAGGGTGACTAGACAATACAATTGATTTTTCTGTTTTTCACTTGTATTGTGTGACAACATTAACTTCTTTGTGGAAGTCATCAAGATAATCAAAAAATAAGATTTTAGCTTCTAGCTTATACATTAGCTTAATCCACTGTTTTCTTATCTCAATTTGTTGGTTATTATTGAATCTATTAACGTACTTTTGTCTTTTAGATTCATTTTTAGATGATTGAAAGTCTATTTTCAATTTATTCATATCAGGCATGAATAATGTACTAGATTCCTTTCTAATCATGAGTAACTGATGGTTATTACTCTAAAGGTCACTAGCAGTAGGAGAAGGGGTGAAATCATCTTCTTCTTCATCTTCTTCCTTTTTCTGCTGTGGAGTATAACACGACTTACTAATTTGTGAAAAGGAATTATCTATTCCTTTTAACTTGAATAGTCTTTGGATTTCTTTATCTATTTCTTGGTCTCTTTTAGAGAATCTAGAATTAGATTCAGATTTTCTTCCTTCACAGATTTGAACAGGTTTATTTATGAATCTGCTTGATCTAATAGATCTTGCAAAATCAAAAGAGATTCTTACTGAGTCATCCTCTAACTGGTGGATGCTCTTTAAGTCAGTGGTTGTATTTTCACTGTCCTTATCATGATTTTTATTTTTTACTATCCAAGATTCTGGGAGCGTTACATCCTTCCAGAGGATTTGCTTAGGAGCTTGGATATGTGACTGATTAGTACTGGCTTGAATCAATGTAGTACTACCTAAAGGACTTTTCTGCAATGCATACACATTCAGGTTTGTGGTAATGCATTTATAATAAATCCTGCAGAGAAGTACTATGGATTCGGTTTCTTTTACCAATTTAGTGATGCTTCCTGTTAGCTATATTCCTAAGGTTAAAACTAAGGGAGTATTTTTGCATCCTAAACTTAAGGTAAAGTCAGGGAAATAATTGAAATAAACTGGTCCTTTATGGAGACCTGTTTCCATGATTCCAATGATACTAGGTTCATATTCAAGAAACCTAGCATCTCTTAACGTTAACAAGGCTGTTGAATTCTTTCCTTGTTGAGTTAATGGTTTAATAGCCATTTGTACTAAGCCAAGGTGAATAAAGTTAAATCCTTTATCCCTATGTTTCTTAAGGGTTTTAGGACTCAACAGTTGGCAACTTTGTTCATCCTTAAAGAGAGGATAAACTTGTTCAATAGTTTTTACTTGTAATTCTTCATTAAAGGCTTTAAGGAGCCAACTAGTTTTATAGATGTCTCGATGGGATACTTTTAGAATATTTCATCCAGTCCAATCTATTCTTGTTTCTCCAAACTCATGTTGTTCTTCATTTACTATATTAGGTATAGTACCTAATGAAGATCTAGATGAGCTAGCCATAGAGTTAGATCTAAATAATCTACTCATTGTTAAATTTAAACTTTTTCAATTTTGTAAATTAATTTTAATATTTGATGTCATGATACATACCCCCTAACATACATATTTCCTCAGAACCTGTCTGTTTCCCTAAAATTGCCTACACAAGGACTTACAAAACAGGAGTGGTCGACTATTCTCTCTCGGGAGACAAAGGCTGGGTGATCAGGGTGAACCAAAATTAAAATTGATTTACTAATTGAAGCTATAAATTTTAGAACAAGTAAGACGATTTAAATATAACTGCATGGATAACTATCCAGGCCGTCAAATGGCTCTGATACCAAAATACAACAAGATGCGGAATTCATGTGAGTTTAAGAGAATCACACGATGTAAATAAAATGTGACAAAATAATGTTTTGAAAAATGATGAATAGGTGTGTACTATGAGTTATTATGAATAGGTGTGTACTATGGGTCAATATAGGTGATCCCAATTTACGAATTAAGATATGATGGATACTGATGATTCAGATAAGCGATCGTATCAATCTATTTCTCACTAATTCAAACTCAGACCCAAATCCGAATTCGGGTTGCAAAACTCAGTAAATATAAGGGGAACTGAATGTGGCTGAAGTAATAGTGCGTAGTGCAACAAAGCTACAGCTACCGAGTATGGCGTCGGGGAGGTGCCATAGGTTATTCTACAACTGACTCCAAATGAAAGAGCTATGAATAGTTGAACATGTTTATTCTTTAATAATGTAATTTTTTTTACTGTTCCTAAGAGTAATGGTATTCAAAATAAATTTATTGATCTAATTTTTCGTTATTGTTAGATTAACATTAAATTTCATTACGAGATGTCGTCCACTGTCAATAATAACTGTACGGAATTATGTCAACAAATTAAATCAATAAATTAGATTTAAATAATATTATTGACAGATCTAACAATTAACATCAAGATTTTGAACCAAACATAAAATATCAGCATGCATATGTGCAGTTCAATTGGATCAAGGGAGACCAATACGTATGAGAGAGATGTATTTAGAGTGAATGTGGAGTATGAGAGATAGAGTGAGAGACGTATAACAATTGGAGAAATATATTTCAAGTTGAGATAAGTCTTTAGAGCCCTGAAAAGATAGGCCTATTGAAATTGTTGGGTGGAAAAATATCTTGGACGAGGAGTTTTGATCGTTGGAGAGAAAAAGAGATAGTAGAGAGTGGGAGAGTCTGTTTTTGAATTTTAAAAGACCGAGAAATGGGAGTATGAGATAGAGAGAGATTATATAAGAGATAAATGTCAAAGATAGACGAGAGTATGAGATATAGAGAGATAGTGTGTGTTTGAATTTTAAAACGTTTGAGAGATGAGAGTATGAGAGTTATATGAGAAATCGAAGTTTTAGAGTTGTAGAAAGAATGAAAGTGTCCTTCTTTAAACGATGCAAACAATTAAGACAATCAAATAATTAATCTTAAAGCGATCTCATTCATGAAAAATTAACAGTAATGTTAAATTGATCAAATTTTGGGACAAAATTTAGAGTCCAATTGATATGACAGTTGACTTGGACTTCTTTGATTGGTGTGATGTCATTTGTACCCCAATAAAAATTTTAAATAATCAACTATCATGTCATTTAAACTCTAAATTTGATCCTAAAATTTGATTAGCGTAATATTACCCAAAAATTAAAGACAAACAATGCTTACTTCCACACACACTCAACGCACACGTGCAGAGAGAGAGAGAATGGGAGAACACATACACTCAAAACACAGAAAAACAACACACACAAAACTCTAAGAGAGAGAGAAAGAGAGAGATATCTATACCCATCAACAACAAAAACCTCACCCCCCTCCCACAATGGTCATCAGAATTCAAGATCAAACCCTTCTGGCCATTTGCAGAAAGGTTTTTTCAAGAGTGTTTTCAACTGGGTCGCCCTAAAACCAGTCCAATTCCTTCTTCAAATCATCAAAGCCAAGTCCTCATCACATTCACTCTGTGCAGAAAGCAATTATGAGGATTTCTACTATTCCCCAAATGAAGTTTTGAGCAATTTCAAGGAGGTTCGGTCTCTGCAAATTGAGCTACCTGGACATGGTGGTGAACTTGGATCAAACCGCAGAGACACATAGCAAATGATTTTAAAGTAGCGGGCAGATTTTGGGAGCAAACTCCATAGCTGTGTACTACTTGGAGCTACTTCATTTCATCAAAAACTCAACAGAAATGGCGAAGAAGAAAGCCAAGAACAAGAAAATGAAACACCCTTTACAGATGAAGAGCATACACAAAAGCACCTAGAGAGAGAAGCTCTGCCTTCTCTCTAGAATTTATCTCCTTTTGAGTTCTTCACCAAGTTCTTCACAAATACCCCCAAAACCACCAAATACACATCAGCAAGACCACACAACATATGCGTCTTTCTTCCAACAATCCAAACACTCAATCCTAAAAGAGGAACCAGGTAAAAAAATTGAGAAGCCAATAGTATTTTATGAAGGAGAACCTGCTTTCTATTTTTCCAATGAAGAAGTTAAAGCATCATGTCAATCCCTGGAATATGCATTGATAGGGAAATGTGCCAATGGGAGGCCATCTTTGGGCGTGATCAAAGAAGTGATTAGATACAAGTGGAGTCTCAAGGGTGAATTTGAGGTTGGATCCATCGATCAAAGGCATGTTTTACTAAGATTCCAACTCCATGAGGATTATGTAAAAGTTTGGTTAAAGGATGCAACTCTAGTCGAGGAATATCTGTTTAGATTCTTAGTGGTTTCCTACTTTCGTTCCTGGGATAGAACCATCCATTGTACCTATGTGGGTGTATCTACCAGGTCTGCCTTTGAATTTTTTTAAGAAGCCATTTCTAGAGCAGTTGGTCAGGCCTATTGGTAGAGTCCTTGCCTATGATCAGTCAACTCTCTCTCTAGCTAGGCCAGGAGTAGCAAGGGTTTGCGTGGAAGTTAACCTACTGGTCAACAATCCCTCTAGGATATGGCTTGACATGGGCGATGAAGATACTAGATGGCGAAGAATCATCTATGAGAAGACCAAGAAGTTTTGCATGCAGAAGCTGCAAGAAGCAAGGCCATGGGGAAGAAGAATGTCGAAAACAGAAACTTCCAAAACAGATGGATGACGCTGAAGGAAAGGATCTGGAAAAGAATAAATCCAACTCTGACAAAATATTCAAAGAGGGAAGGAAAGGAAAGCAAACTCAGCAAATCGATAAAGGAAAGAAAGTCCAGCAAGATGACAATGCAGGAGCAGCAAATGAGGAAGGTCAAAGAGCTCACAGAAGGAATTTAGAGAAATCAAAGCAACCAAATTTTGGTCAGCAGTCTAAAGGTATATGGAAACAGCAGAATAAGGAAAAATCTATTGGAAATCCGTGTGCAAATGTGTTAGATTCTTCGGCTAATGTAGAAGCAGATTCTTCGGCTAATATAGAAGCAGAAATTTCTGCCTTGAGTGCAGGCAATCAGCAGACCTCCATGCAAGTTGAGGCTCTTCATCCTATTGATTTGGAAAGGGGGGATCGTAGTGGAAAAGATGATGCTCCACGGATTAATTTAGTTGTTGATCTAAACGCAGGGTTTCCAAATGAAGTAGTTGAGAATGCCCAAGTACAGCCTGATTCGGTGCTACCTAATGCGGGCAAAAGTGTGCCAGAAGAAGACTCTGTTCCTGATCCAAAATTGGATTCGGAGAAGCTCCACCGTGTGTTGAATGAACAATGTCAAATTTCATCTGCATCCACTTTCTTTATTGATCATTACTATGTCCGCAGAGCAGGTCAAGAGCTCAGTATGGATGATGAAAGGGGGTTGCAGATTTCTAAGGAGCCTCCAGATAAAGGCTATCATTCTGACGATGGTTTTTCAGGTAGTATTAAATCTTTAGAAGCTTATTCCCAAGATTCGGAGGCCATGGAGATTGTGGTCCCAGGAGCTCGATCTCAAGGTCTCTCAAAATCGAACATAATTACTAGATCCAAATCTAGCAAAGTTACTTTCTCTTTACCCCTAAATGATTAGTGCAATTACTTGGAATGTCAGAGGGGCAAATCAAGAATCTTCAAGGAGAAGACTGAAGAAGCTTATTAAAATTCATAATGTATGTTTAGTTGCTATCCTAGAGCCTAAGTTATTGCCCGCTAAATTGAACAACCTATGCAATAGTCTGGGTTTTTCTGGCTTTGTTGGTAATCCAGCTGCTGAGAAATACATTTGGGTATTATGGGACCATCGACTAAAGGTCAATATGGTAGCTGCGCATGAACAAGCATTCACTGTGGAGGTCTCTTTCCTGGGCACAGAGGTTTTTCTAGTCTCTTTTATCTATGCCAAATGTGATCACATATTGAGAAGGCCCTTATGGGACCATTTAGCTAGCTTGCAGCAATCTTCGTTTCCATGGATGATAGTTGGTGACTTTAATAGTATTGTTTCTTCAACAGAAAGAAAAGGTGGAGCTACCCCAAGCTTGTCTATTATGCAGGAGTTTATTTCTTTTATTAGTTCAATCGGTCTGCAGGACTGTGGATTCACTGGGTCTTCATTCACATGGTGTAATAATCGGCAAGGAAGATCTAGGATGTGGCAAAGACTGGATAGGGCCCTAATCAATGTAAAATGGAGAGAGAGATTTGAAAATACAGAGGTGGAGCATGCTGGTAAGGGCAAGTCTGACCATTGCCCTTTGATTCTTAAGCTCTCAGAGACTGCAGCTACTAGGAGAATTTCTTACTTCAAATTCCAGAACATGTGGCCAGAACATTCTAGTTTCATGCAACTGGTGGAACAAAATTTGGTTGGAAACTGCTCTCCAAATCCTATTGAAATTTTTTTCCTGAAGCTCAAGTATTTGAAATGCCACCTCAAAAAGTGAAATAAAGATGTGTTTGGGAATCTTTTTGAGAACATTAAGAAGTATGAGGTACAGTTATTGAAGGCTGAGTTGGAGATGGAAAGGGTGACTCGCATACAAATCATCAAGCTCTGGAGAAGGCCCAGCAGGATCTTGACAATGCTTTGAGGATAGAAAAGATCTTTTAGAAGCAAAAAGAAAATATGAGATGGACTCTAGATGGGGAGAGAAATAAGAAACTATATCATGCCATTGCTAAGGGTAAAGTGGTTAGAAATAGGATCTCAAGAATAAAAAATGCTCAAGGAATTTGGGTGCAAGGTGAAACTGATATTGCCAACTGTGTTGTGGACTTCTTTTCTTCTCTTTACTCAACTGAAAGGCATTCGTTGGGGAAAGGACTGTTCTCGGTCATGCCCAAGCTGGTTTCTGCTGAGGATAACTTTATGCTAACTGCACCAGTTGCGTTGGAGGAGCTTAAGGATATTTTGTTTTCAATGTTTGACTGTCGGAGATATTAGCAGCAGCCTAGTTTATTAGAATTTTATTAAATTTTCTTTTTTTACCTTTTTGTCCTTATGGTAACTTTCATTGACTATATATATGGGGGCTCTATACTTAGTTTGTATCCCTTTTACTCACATTAATTCCAAGTTAGTATCAGAGCCACAACCCTAACCCTAACCCTACCTTAGCCCCTCCTCCACGTTGCAGCCACCAGCCACCACACTGCCGCCCACTGCCCAAACCATCGACAACAAACATCAAACCCACATACCCACATACCAGCGATAGCTTGCAACAAACCCACTGCCCGTATTCCAACAACAAACCCACTGCCTCACAGTCCTAGAAGCCACCAACTGCCTACCAGCAACACAACCACTGACAGCCAACACCGATTGCCTCTAGCTACTCCACCGACAGCACAACGTCGTGTTGCTATCCATTCCATTGGCCTACCAATGAACAACTGCCCACAAACCCACGGAACATAGCCACCGAACAACCGAAACATATAGAGGACTGCTTCATCCCAGTTCCACCGACTTCACAAACCCACTGCCCAGACCTATAAACAAATACCCCTGACAACTAAGCAGCCCCACCGACGGACAATACCATTTTCCAGTCCAGCCCAAACCCAACACAGTACTCACCCCAGCGAACCAGCTGGATCGCGCTCTTCGTCATAGTTTCGTGTTTTGCCTTTGTGTGCCTGATTATTTGGGACCGTAGGACCTTTTAAGAGGGGTTGAATCCTCTTCTCAGTTGATATGCTCTTGATGCAGTAGATCACTTATTTATATTTATTGGACTTCTGGGCATCATGACCTGATTATTTGGGAGCTTTCTGGATCTTCTTTATTTGTCGCTACTGTTCGACTAAATGTATATTGTTCTCCCTTATTTTATTCCTCTATTTCTCTTAGAGTTGTTTTTCTGTCACGGGTGCCCTAGTATTGTTGTTGATATGGCTACTACTGAGGGACTTGAGAACCCTACTGTTGACATCTGTATCGTTAAGACATCTATGGGTACTTTCACTTTTATGTTTGACCAGTATACAGTACCTACTAGCACAGTTGCATTACCAGCACTACCGGGCATGATCTCTCAAAAAGTTACAGCACAGTTGTTGAATGGTCGTAACATTGTTAAGTGGTCTCGCTCATTCCAACTTTTCTTAGGTCGTGTAGGGAAGCTTGGTTGGCTGACGGGATCTCACCCAAAGCTAGCTGATGCCAACCTTGGATATTCTGCGTGGTTCTCTGAGAACTGCGTCATTCTTGGATGGTTATTTGACTCGATGGAGCCATCTATTTGCAGGATCCACCAGTTTCATAGCTCTGTTTCGAAGCTATGGAGCGCACTATCAGAGATGTATTCTCAGTCAGGACGGGGAGTTCGTGTTTATGAGCTTTCTTAGGAGCTCTCATATGCTCGGCAGGGAGATATGACCGTTCAGGATTATTATGGCTATTTGACCCAGCGCTGGCTTGAGTATGAGACTCTACGTCCTCTTGCTGCTATTCCAAAGATAAAGCCCGAGGGAGCAGCATTCTTGCATACTCGAGAGCAGGAGGATAGGATTTACAAGTTCCTTATAGGGCTTCGTGATGAGTTTGAGGGACCTCGTTTTCACATCTTGTCGATGTTGACACTTCCTTCTCTTTATGAGGTGTATGAGATGATTGAGCAGCATGAGCGTCGAGTCCGTATTACATCACTTCCAGTTGCGACTTTGACTCCTTCGACTGACTAGATGGCCCTTGCAGTTGTTGTAGGGTCTCGTTCAGGATCCTCAGTCAGGGGTGGGCAGCACTCGGATCAACACCGTCAAGGTGCCTCAGATCAGCGCAGATAGGGGGATTCTCGTCACTGTGATTATTGTGGCCGATCAGGACATCTCAGGGCTACTTGATGGAAGCTCCATCCAGAGCTTAAGCTGCCTCCTCGCAGCCGTACTGTTGCTATTACTGAGGTACCACCACCCACTACTGCTACTCTTGCTGCTGCTGCTCCACCTTGGCAGAGTGATATGGATGTTATCACTTCCCGATTAGATATACTTATGTCTGCTCTGACTTCTCAGAGTCTGACTACTACTGCTGTCACCACTACAGGTATACCTCGTGCCTTTCACGCTTGTGCCAGTTCATCTCCCCTTTGGATGTTGGACTCGGGTGCAAATGGTCACATGACAGATGAGGTCCATCACTTCACCACTTTTAACGAGCAGTTATATACACAGGTTCAATTAGCAGATGGGACACATGCCCCTATTGTTAGTAGGGGTACAGTCCGCCTCCCAGATGGCCTTACATTACGTTCGGTTTTTCATGCGCCAAAGTTGGCCATGAATCTATTATCTGTATATCAGTTAGCCAGAGANAATTTTTCATGCGCCAAAGTTGGCCATGAATTTATTATTTGTACATCAGTTAGCCAAAGATTTTTACTGTGCGGTTGTATTCTTATCTGATTCGTGTTATTTGCAGGACCTGAGTACCAGGAGGATTATTATCAAGGGACATGAGAAAGATGGACTGTATTATCTTGGCAATCCATCTCCAGTTTCACCAATTCCTTCACCTGCACCTGCTTTGTCTTTTTCTGTTCCTAGCTTGCATGCTAGTATTTTACCTAGTAGTTGTCGTTATGATTTTTCGTCACAAACTGTTCAATNACCAGTTTCACCAATTCCTCCACCTACATCACCTGCACCTGCTTTGTCTTTTTTTCTTCCTAGCTTGCATGCTAGTATTTTACCTAGTAGTTGTCGTTATGATTTTTCGTCACAAACTGTTCAATTGTGGCATGACCGTTTTGGACATACAAATTTTAAATATTTATGTATGTTGTTTCCTGCTTTGAGCAATGCTTGTGTTAGTGGTAAACTTGACTGTGTTATATGTTCCCTATCGAAACATGTTAGGGCCAGTTATATTTTTCGCATACACCAGTAACCTAAGCCATTTGACCTAATACACTCTGATATTTGGGGACCCTCTCCCGTTAATACTTTGTCAGGTGTCCGATATTATGTGACATTTATAGATGACCATACCCGTTGTACTTGGGTCTATCTTTTGCATAGAAAGTCTGATGTACTTCCTATAATTACTCAGTTTTTACAAATGATTAAGACACAATTCGATGTCATTGTTCGTGCTCTTCGTTCGGATAATGCCAAAGAATATGTGTCTGATACCTTAGTGTCTCACCTTTCTTCTCAGGGTATTCTTCAGCAACTCACTTGTCCATATACTCCTGAGCAAAATGGTGTTGCTGAGAGNATTCTTCAGTAACTCACTTGTCCATATACTCCTAAGCAAAATGGTGTTGCTGAAAGAAAAAATAGGAGTTTGATAGGAATGGTACGTTGTATGCTTAGAGGCATGAGGGTACCAAAATTTTATTGGCATTTTGTTGTTTTGACTTCTACCTTTTTGTACAATCGTACGCCGAGTCGTGTTCTTCAGCATAAGGCTCCTTTACAGGTCTTATTTCCTGAGCGGACACTTTTTTCAGTCCCTCCTCGTGTTTTTGGATGCACATGTTTTGTTCAGAATCGGTCTTCTACTCGTCATAAACTTGATGATAAAGCGATTCGTTGTATCTTTGTAGGCTATTGTCATTAATCTAAGGGGTATCGGTGTTATGATTCTATCAGGCGCCGTATGTATTACAGTCTAGATGTTACCTTTCTTGAGCATATTCTTTATTTTCCTCCCAGTTTTGTGTCTGTCCCTCCAGTTGATGATACTCCCTTTGATTTTCCATTATCACAGGAGTCAGAGTCATTGGTCATTATCCCTACAGGGTTATCTGTTTCTCCTCCTTCAGAGCCATTCATCTCTGTCAGTACAGAGTTACCAGTCTCTCTTCCTTTGCAGGTGTATGTTCGTCGCCCTCGCTCTCATCACCCTACTGATGTCCCCTCTACCTCAGGCGATGCAGATAATACTTCTTAGTTTGTTGAGCATATTGATGCACCTGTTGTTAGTACTAATGAGATTGCAGGTGCTGAGCCAATTCATTTACCTGATGAGACATTATCAGTGGAGAAGTATGATTTAGGGCGTCATTATCCGCAGCGTGATCACCGTCCAGTTGAGCGTTATGGTTGGACCGCTAGAATTTTATATTCGATCTCTGCTTATGTTTCTTATGGTGATATGTCTCCCATATTTCGAGTTTATAGTATGGCCTTATCAGATACGCCGGTTCCTCGCTCTATTTCGGAAGCTATGCGGGAGCCCCAATGGGTTCTTGCCATGCAGACAGAGATGGACGCTCTTCAGCGTAATCATACATGGGATCTTGTCTCTTTACTTTTAGGGTGAAACCTGTTGGGCGTTGCTAGGTTTACACCCTGAAGTTTCTTGCGGATGATACTATTGATCGTCACAAGGCTAGACTTGTGGCGAAGGGCTTTACTCAGGTACCAGGTCGTGATTTTGGTGATACATTTGCCCCCGTGGCAAAATTGACTACTGTTCGGTTGATTATTTCTCTGGCTGTGGAGTACTCTTGGTCTCTTCATCAATTAGATGTGAAGAATGCGTTTCTTCACAGTGATTTGGACGAGATTATTTATATGGATGCACCACCAGGCTTTTGTGGTGAGGGGAAGTATGCTGGAAAGGTATGTCGACTACATAAGTCTCTTTATGGACTGAAATAGTCGCCACGAGCCTGGTTCTCTCGCTTTAGTGATGTAGTCGTACGATTGGGGTTCACCAGGTGTCATTCTGATCATACCTGCTTTATTCGACGGAATACTTCTGGACAGTGTGTCATCCTTCTGGTATATGTTGATGATATTATTATTACTGGTGATGATGTTTCTGGGACTACATAGGTCAAGATAGACCTTGGGAAGGCCTTCGATGTGAAGGACCTTGGATTTCTGCGATACTTTCTTGGGATTGAGGTTGCCCGTAGCGGCAGGGGGTGTTGTTCTTTCTCAAAGAAAGTATGTTTTGGATCTTCTTTCAGACACTGGGATGTTGGGGTGCAAACCGGCATCATCACCTATGATTCCAAACCTGAAGCTTACTGCTGAAGGTGAGGAGTTGAAAGATCCGACAGTTTATCAAAGATTGGTAGGTAGACTTATCTACTTAGCCAATACTAGGCCGGACATTTCATTCGCAGTCAGCCGAGTTAGTCAGTTCATGCATAGGCCATGTCAGCCTCATCTTGATGCAGTTTATCATATTCTTCGGTACCTCAAGTCTTGTCCTGGACTTGGGTTGTTTTATGTATCAGGATCTCAGACCTGTTCTCTAGCCCGTTATTCAGATTCAGATTATGGGGGAGCATGTGATGGTCGATCTACTATGAACTTCTGTGCTTTTCGAAAGACTCATCTTATCTCTTAGAAGAGCAAAAAGCAGGCAGTTGTCTCCCGCTCGTCAGCAGAGGCAGAGTATCGGGCACTGGCACTGGCACTTGGCACGTGTGAGATTATCTGGCTATGATCGATTCTTGGCGAGTTGGGTTTTTCAGTGACCTCTCCTTCCATATTATATTGTGATAATCGATCTGCTATTCAGCTCGCTTTTGACTCTGTACTACATGAGATAACAAAGCATATAGAGATTGATGTTCACTTTCTTCGGGAGAAGGTTAGCAGTGGTATTGTCACTCCATCGTTTGTGGGGACTAGTGATCAGGTTGCAGATGTTTTTACCAAACCTGTCACTCTGTCTATTCTTCGGGACTCCGTTGTCAAGCTTGGCTTAGTTGACATTTTTGCGCCTAGCTTGAGGGGGAGTGTTGGAGTATAGATAGTCTAGGTTTATTAGGATNTATTCTTCGGGACTCCGTTGTCAAACTTGACTTAGTTGACATTTTTGCGCCTAACTTGAGGGGGAGTGTTGGAGATATAGCAGCAGTCTAGTTTATTAGGATTTTATTAAGTTTTCATTTTTTACCTTTTTGTCCTTATGGTAACTCTTATTGACTATATATACGGGGCTCTACACTTAGTTTGTAGCTCTTTTACTTACATTAATTTCAAGTCTGACCAAAGTGCTCAAGGAGCTGATGAATTCTCTGGAAAGTTCTTCCATGCCACGTGGGATATCATTCAGCTGGACTTGCTTGCTTCTGCTAATCATTTCATTGAGGGAGGTATCATACCCAGGTCAGTTAATGCAACCCTTTTATCCCTTATACCTAAAAAGAAAACCCTTCTTCCTTTGCTGAGTTCAGAGGCCCATTAGCCTATGCAATTTCTTGTATAAAATTTTCACAAAGCTTTTAGCCACTAGATTGAGCAACATTCTCCCCAAGATCATCTCAGCTGAACAACATGGCTTTGTACAAGGTAGAACTATTGGTGATAGTATTGCCTTAGCACAGTTTATGGTCAATGAATTAGACAGAAAAGTGGAGGCTGGGAATGCCATCCTTAAACTGGACATGATGAAAGATTTTGACAGAGTGGAATGGGACTTTCTCAAACAGACTTTGAGGGCTTTTGGTTTTTCTGAATTATTTGTGTTGATTATATCCAATTGTTTAAACAATCAAAATATCTCTGTGGCTATCAATGGCAAAAGACTTGGCTTCTTTCCTACTTCCAGAGGCTTAAGGCAAGGAGATCCCATCTCTCCTAGCCTCTTTATTATTGCAGAAGAAGTCTTAAGTAGAGGTCTGAAAGGTTGCTTTCAAAAAGGATTGGTTCAAATTTATCATGCAGGTAGAGGTTCCTTGCTCCTTAGCCATATTCTCTTTGCTGATGACACCCTCATTTTTCTAAAAGGCAACAAGAAATCAATGACAAATCTTCTTGTTTTTATGTCCAAGTACGAAGCTTCACCAGGACAGAAAGTTAATAGGCAAAAGAGCTCTCTCTATTGTTCATAAAACATCCCTCTGTCCAGGAAGAATATGTTGTCCCATATCTCTGGCATTCCTTCTAAACTCTATCCTTTCACTTATCTGGGGTGCCCTATTTTCAAAGGTAGAGTGAGGATTATCTATTTTGAAGATTTACTTCGGAAGTTTCAATCCAAATTGGAGGGGTGGTATGCGAAGCTTCTGTCAAATGCAGGTAGAATTGTTCTTATTCAATCTGTTCTAAACTCAATGCCAGTTAATTTATTGGCATCTTTAAATCTCCTTAAGGGTGTGATAGCTAAATTGAACTTAGTAATGGCTTCCTTTCTTTGGTCCAGCAAGGCAGACGTGAAAAAGAGACATTGGGTCTCTTGGAAGAACATTACACTGCCAAAGGATGAAGGGGGTTTGGGGATAAGAAAGTTTGAAGAGGTTCAGCAAGCTTTCCGAATGAAGCAAGTATGGGGCCTTTTAAGTGGGATCTCTTTATGGTCTACCTTATTCTCCGCTAAGTTTCTTCATAATCAGCACTTGCTCAGAAATGTCAGGTCAAGTAATGCTCGAAGTTTCAAGGCCTTAATCCCATGGTTTGAAGATGTAGTATGTAACTCTCAAAAAATAATTGGCACAGGTACCTCAATTGATTTTTGGTGTGATAACTAGACTGGTGCTGGTCCATTGATCCTGAGGAAATCTACTGCTCCAATGGATTTTCCTAAGTTATCAGATCTATTTCTTCATGGTCATCTGGAGTTGGGAATCATTGCTCAGGTCCTGGATCCTCAGCTGCTGCAAGAAATCTCTTCTCTTAATGCTATTCAAAGCAATAGGGCAGATACTTTGATCTGGAAACTTACTCCCCTAGGGAACTTTACTCTCAAATCTGCTTGGGACTTCTTTCGTTCTAAGGGCCAACCTAACTCCCTCGCAGGTGCTATTTGGAAGCAAGCATCTCCACCCAGTGCCAATTTAATTGGTTGGAAAATCCTTAAGGGAGCTCTACCTATAGATTGCACTTTTAGAAACATGGGGATATCAATGGTCTGTGGATGTGTGTTATGCTGTAACGAAGCTGAATCAGTCCAGCACATGTTCTGCGATTGTGTCTTTGCGAATTTTGTTTGGTATAAGCTGTCAAATCTATTTGGCTTGCAATTAATAGATAAGGAGGCTCCTCTCACTCGGTTCAAAAGATTGCTCAGAATATTCAAACTATCATCACTCTATCACTCTTTAATGAGAGGCTTACCCTTCTGGTCTTCTGGCAGCTTTGGAGAGAGAAGTGCAGAAGGCTGTTTGAAGGTCATCAACAAAACCCCACTGTTGTGTTTAATTCTGTTCTACATTTTTGGAAGCTACAAGCATATAATGCAAGGCCAAGATCTATGGATACTGCCCAAGCTCAAGCTCTCTTGCTTTCCTCGCATGTTCCTCCTTTAAGACAACTCCATGTGTTGGTAAGGTGGATTAAATGGGAGTGCCCAGCAGAGGGGTGGTTGAAGCTGAACGCAGATGGTTCTTCAAAGGGCAATCCAGGTCTATCTGGAGGTGGGGCTGTTTTGAGAATTCAATGGGGCCAACTGGTCTTAGCTGGTTCTTACTTTTATGGGGTCAGCACCAATATCAAAGCAGAGATCAAAGCCATACTGATGGGCTGCACTTGCTGCTTCAGTTTGGATTAGAGCTCTACCCCATTCTTATTGAGACTGATTCTCAACTCTTAGTGGATATGATTCATCAACATCTTTCTCCCTCTTGGAAATTTAGGCATCTTTTGGATCAGATTTTTGAAGTGCTTGGAAGATTTCGATTTAAGATTTCACATATCTTTAGAGAAGGGAATGCTGTAGCTGACTCATTGGCAAAAAAAGCAGTATCAGACAGGGCTTCATCTACCTACTCATCCTCAAATTCTCTCCCTACGTGGACCAAGCTGCTCCTGCTGCAAGATGTTCGTGGAATTAGAGCTCTGCGAAAGAAAGTCACCTCCAGATAAGTTGACTTTTGGTCTTCTGAATAGCCTCCTAAACTGGCCAGTATAAAGCATATGAATCCTCTTCTATCAGCTGGATTCTATGAAATGCCCTGTTTTCAGCACTTTATCTCTCAGCGTTGTCCACACCACTGGCTGGATTTTTTAGTTAGCTCAATAGTTCACAGAGGTCTGAAGTTTCCACTGTTCAGCGTTTTTTTCTGTCTTCCGATCATATATGGTCAGCCAGCACAAAAATTCTAGAGCAGATTTATTTTCTAACAGCTACTGCACAACATCAGAGGAGTATTTTCCAATTTCGAATTTAAAGGCAGCATGCTTAGGATTCTTTGAGGTTTTATTTTTATTCTTTTGTTGTACTAAGCATGCATTCTTTGCTTTCCATTATTTCTAAATTTGAACTATGTAATGGGATTGCATAGAGGGTAAGGTAGTTAGGTGTAATTATTTTTCTTGAATCAATAAAATTCCCTCGTAGGTTCACCAAAAAAAAAAAAAAATATGAAGAGCTGAAATTAAGAGTTGTATGGACAATTTCCACTTTAATAGCTGCCTCGGCAAGGTACTACTTGTTGCAGAAAGTCATATTAGAGCACCCAATGCTTGAGAATGTGGCGATTACAGATGGGAGTAAACAAGGGACCGTGTGCATGAAAAAAGAGTAGATTTGTGGAGCTGATGAAGGCCATGGAGGACAAAATGGAGTCTCCGGCGACGCGTTGGAGAGGTCTAGAGTGCCGGCTCTGAAGATGAAACTGTGGTATGTGTCGGAGTTGGAGCTGCCGGAGACGGGGAAGGTGATGGAGGGAGCGACGTTGGTTTCGATACGGCCGGTGGAGGGGTGGGAGGCGGCGGAGAGTGGTGGTGACAGGGTGCTGGAGGCGTTAGATTTGGATAGGTGGGTTGAGGAAGCAAGGGGGTTTGGTGAAGCTGCTAGGATCATGGTGAAGAGGAAGAAGACTTGCACATTAGAAATGAGTTCATTTTGAATTTTTTTTTATTTAATTATGAAATTTAATATCTTTGGTTTACGGTAAAAAAGAGAGAATTTAGTTTTTGAATATTTAAATATTTTTATTTGTTGAATAATTCTTTATTTATATTTTTATTAAAACCCAACTCAACCACCGTGAGGGAGCTAATTATTTTTACATATTTACTAGCCATGACTCGCGCAATGCAATGCATGAGCATGAAATTTATATCTTTTGTCTTCCGCTTCCATTCTGTATTTCTCTCCCTTAGAAAGTGGCTTAGTGTGCCACTTACGTAACACAAATGGTTGGAGAAAACTGTATATATGACCATCAAACTATGACACTTGTGTTAATTAAGCTCCTGATTTTTATGTTTTTATATCAATTGAACCTATATAATTCTCTAATTGAGTCAATTGAACGCTTCAGTCTGCATTCGTTAATTTTTCTAACGAAAAGTGACAAAATATGTCACTCGCGTGACACAAATGGTTGGAGTAAACTACATATATGACCCTCAAACTATAACCCTTGTATCAATTAAGACCCTGAATTTTTTTTAATTGAGTATCTAAATTCTCTAATTATATCAATTGAACCCTTTTATCTTTTAATGTGATATAGTAACGGAGGCAGACGAGACTGAGCATGCCATACAATTATATGCTTGACATTATAGTGTAGTTTTAAGTAGAATTTAAAATTTTTAGAATTTTAATATGCTTGATAATATAAATTATAGAGTAGTATATTAAATCTTATCTCAATTGACCTAAATAATTCCTAATTATGGTAAGATTTCAATACGATTAATATAATTGACAATTATTTTTATTTTATTCAATGAATTATATGTGAAATTCTAATTAAATGAATTTTTAAAAAAATTTAAATTTTCAGACATCACTATAAATCACTCTCAATCACAAAATTTTAAAAAAAATATGAGTTTAATCTATTCTTTTTTTAAAAAAAATAAAATTTATAGGTGAAACAACGAACTTTGACAACATACANAAAAAAAATATGAGTTTAATCTATTCTTTTTTTAAAAAAAATAAAATTTATAGGTGAAACAACGAACTTTGACAACATACAAAATTTTCCTAATTTATAATAGANAATTTATAGGTGAAACAACGAACTTTGACAACATACAAAATTTTCCTAATTTATAATAGAGTATGAGCGAAAATAAATCTGTTAAGAGTAGGGGGAGCCCAGCCCAGACAAGACTGGGCATGCCATAATATCCAAGGAAAACAACCCAAAGATGAGCCCAACCCATCCATTAGAAGAACTCATTCCAAGCCAAGGCTAGATAAGCCCATCTAAGAAAAAGCCCATAAGAACATTTTCAAACGGCCTATCAAGCCCAAGAAAGGCAAAATGGAGAATTACCTACCAAAGACTTATCAAGGAAGGAATCATCAATGTCACATCATCAATTTTTAGAAAATTATGTTACACCTAAAGAATATAATTTCTAATGATCAAATATTCTCTCATACAATCCTAACAAACAAGAGACCACCCCATCATGGCAAGGGACCATTCTAGACTAGAAATATGTAAGCAAACCCTAGCCCTCTAAAAAAATAGAGCCATTTTGTTCACTAAAGTTAATAACCGTCTTCTTTTTCTTCCAAGCAATAGAAAACAAACGAACAAAAAACTCCATTAAACTGGACTAACCTAACTTTTCAACTAAGTGAACCACTTAACTCTTCGTGTTTTTACTATAATTATTCTACAGATATAATCATTCTAGATACATGTACACATAAATATCAACCACTCTTAAATTCAAGCCCAAGCAAGATAATGAAGATTTAATAGTCTCGAGCCCAATTTATTTGTTGTATAGTACAAAAATATTATTATAGTGAATAAATATTTAAGATACTCCTTTACTGTAATATTAAGGTATCTCAATAGATTGTCTATAAAACCCAAGTAAATTTAGACTTTTTACTAAAAGGGGCAAAATGGTAAATTGTCGCTACGGTACGGGTTACAAAATCTGAATTTTTCTAGAACTCGGATGACGAAACGGACCTCACCGTTGGATTCGTCTTGCGAAATCTAGTTAGTTCATCAAATTTCGTTGAATTTCAAGATAGTCGAATTTTTTACGTTTTACGAGAGATCAGGTCTTGGGTGACCCAAAAACGAAATTTTTAATAAAATTTTAAATTTTAAAAAATAATTTAATGCAAGTCGAAATAAAAATATTTTGAACTTGAATCGGGCCAAAATTTAATCGTTTTTGGGTAAAAACGGATCTGAGAAAAAGAAGGTCGTGTGGTGTGTTGTGGGCCAAGTAATTAAAGGGTATAAATATGGGGGAAATCTAATTTCTCCCCCACAACTTAGCTGGTCTTCAACCTTAGAGAGAGAAGAGAGGGAAAAAATGAGAAAACTCCAATTTCTTTCTACGATCTACGCCTCTTCGTCACTTGAATCAACTCGAGCCAAGAATAAAAATTGTTCTACTCGACGAGAATTACGCCTATATACCAAAAAGAGCTGATTTCACTGAAGTTTTTGAGGTGGGTTTTTGGGAAATCAAAAGTTTTGTACTTGGGTGATATTCTTGAAGGTTCTACCGTTAATTTTACATTTCAAAGTGTAGGGTTTTCTCCCTAATTAGGTTTATTTTCAACCTAGAATAATTATATAGAATGAGTAGGTTGTTAGATAATTTTAACACTTGCCTATTGTGATGAGATTGGTGAAATGGATAGGTTAATAGAAGTTGTATCACTTGCCTATTATTGTCAAAAAAATTGAGAAAATGGGTATTGAGAATGGGTAGAATAATTTCTATCATGAATAAGGTATGTGGGAAATTTCTTAATGTGATTCTTAAGTTGTGTGATTAATTGGGCAAATTATGTGATGACATGATTGGATGTCTTGAAGGTGTTTGAAATAAATGCAAATGTGAAATCAAGTATGTTTGCATAGATAATGTGATAACATGC